GGGTCACATGGATGTTAAGCACAGAAAATGTACACTATCAATGTATATTTTTTTCAACAAAATAAGCATTTAAATAACTAATTGTTAAATATTAATACTTTTCTTTTCATAAAAATTACAGCAACCCAGGACTCAACTCTGAATTCAGGGAAAATCCAAAACAACAACCCAGGTTGTAACCTCCTGAGTTACTGAATTTTCAACCAGTTGCAGGTGCCAATTTTTATGCTAGTGTGGCAATAACATGCAGCAATCATCCACACAAACACCAGCTATCAGTGATCAATGCCCATATGGTAACAGCCAAGCCTGGTCTGAGGGGAAGATAGGGAAAAGTTTTGTCCAAAGCCTTCCAACTTGTTCAAGTCACTTTCACCTGTGGAAAAAAATTCCATGGTGCTGAATGGTGCTTAATTGCACGAAGTTTGCTTGTTTGTGATAGGAAATTTCAGTTAAATCTGACACCTATGATCAACATCAGATTTATTATTCATAAGGAACCATAATTGATAATCAGGAAAATTAATTTATTTTGTGAATCCCAGAGATCTGGGTAGATACACATTATTAAAGTTTCATTTATGCATGGCCTTGGTATTATTATTACCTGGGTGATGCAATTGTTTGTTATTTCAATGATGATATCAAATGTATTGAATAATTATTGTGATGGATGTGAGGACAAGGATATTCACATATATGAGGAAAGGATTAAATAACAATAAAAAAGTTAAGTCATGTTTATTTTTTATCCAACCAAGATATATAATTAATTATATTTTAAAAGTAATTATTTTATTCCATTCTTACAATGAATGGTATCATTCTGAAATCATTTTTTATTTAGCATTAATGATTGAATCAATCACACAGGTGGTAGTCAATTTATTAAAAAGTTTTATTTGAAATGATATTATTTTAAATGTGTAAAAAAATTTTTAAAAGATGTTTTTATAATAATTTCTTTTAGAAATAATTGAAAATAAATATTATGCATGTATGATCTTCTCATTTTACCCCTTTTTTAAATATATATGCCAATCTTTAATTTTCTACCCAATTTGGATATATTTGTTAAAGCTAAATATACATATATATAAGAACAGCTGAAGTTTTTTATGCAAACAATTTCCTTATTTGTATTTCTTCAATCAAGATTGACAAGAGTTTTCATGATAAACTGAACATATTTTTCATTCATTTTTAATGCTAAATTTTAATGTTAATTATTAAACAATCTTAGAAAAACCTACAAAGTGAACATAAAATTATATATATAGGGTTATAGGTATATGAAAAGTAATAAGGAAAATAATAATCATAATGGTTCTAATGAATA